GTGGACAGTTTTTAAAGGAGCATTAATCTCAATTGAGCCCAGGCAGGAGAGCAGCCATGTAAGGCACAGGGGGGTCAGGGGGACGCACACAGAGCCAGGAGCAGAGAGAGGAGGACAGAGGGTTCGGGGACGGGAGAGAGGGGGAGAACATCAGCAGGCTCATGTGAGCTCTGATCTCCTGTCTGAGCTGCACCAATGAGTCTGAACACTGATCCCAGTGAATCTCCCACTGCCCGACAGCCAGATCCACTCCAGGCGTGACAGTTCAATACAGCCCCACACTGCCCCACACAGCTCCACACAACTCCACACAGCCCCACACAGCCCCACACTGCCCCACACAGCTCCACACAGCTCCACACAGCCCCACACAGCCCCACACTGCCCCACACAGCCCCACACAGCTCCACACTGCCCCACACAGACCCACACAGCCCCACACAGCTCCATACAGCCCCACACAGCCCCACACTGCTCCACACAGCCCCACACAGACCCACACTGCCCCACACAACTCCACACAGCCCCACACAGCTCCACACTGATCCACACAGCCCCACACTGCCCCACACAGACCCACACAGACCCACACAGCCCCACACAGACCCACACAGCCCCACACTGTCCCACACTGCTCCGCAGTGTCCCACACAGCCCCACACTGATCCACACATCCCCACACAGCCCCACACAGCCCCACACTGATCCACACATCCCCACACAGCCCCACACTGCCCCACACTGCCCCACACAGCTCCACACAGCCCCACACAGCTCCATACAGCCCCACACTGCTCCACACTGCTCCACACTGTCCCACACAGCTCCACACAGCCCCACACTGCCCCACACTGCCCCACACAGCCCCACACTGTCCCACACTGATCCACACAGCTCCACACAGCCCCACACTGTCCCACACAGCTCCACACTGCTCCACACTGACCCACCCACACTGCCCAACACTGCCTCACACCTGGAGAGCCTCTGTCTGCTCCTCCGCCGCCTGTGCACACTGGAGCCAGGGCAATGCTGCTGAGAGGGACACAGTGACCCCTCAGAGAGAGGGACACAGGGTGGACAGGGCGAGGGTGGAGGGTGGGTCCACCCTGTGTCCGGCACAGAGCAGTCCCCCTGCCAGCTCAGAGCCGCGCGGGCTGTGTGTTTACTCAGCCCCCAGGGACAGACAGGAAGAGCTGAGGATGGGACCGATAATCACAGCGGCGGAGGAATTCAAACCGGGGCTGTAATACAGAGCAAGAAGTCACCGGCGGCGCAGGACTGAGTCTGACAGCCGGCTAGTCCACGCTCTTCACGCGCGAGTCACTCAGCCCGCGACACCCCACTCCACGCCCCGTCCCCAGCGAGACCGGGGTGTCCTACCTGTGCAGGACGGGGCGCTCAGGTGC